CGTGGAACAACGCAGTGATGATGATGGACACCATGCGGTCTTAAAACGCTCTGGTAGTTAGTTAGACTTGGTATGTGCTTGACGTCTCATAGCACACGGGTCCACGCTAATGGCGCTGATCGGTCGCAGAGGTCGGCGCAAGGAGCAGCGTGTAGGGGTACTTGGTCCACAGCGGTCGGTAAGGCGATTGGACGCGGAGGACTTCGAGGACAGAGGAACGGAGAGGGCAGTCGGGGTCTTGTAGGCGGAGCCATCGGCGGACAGACATCGTCCAGCCAAGGAACGATAGCTCATTCCACGCTGGGGGAGGCAGCGGAGTCGCCGCTTCATACTGAACCTTGTTGTGCTCGGTCCATATGAGGTGGAGGGTTGAGGCTATGAGAAGGATCCATAGGGTCTTGAGGGCATCCTGGCGTTGGTGGCCGCGCGCATTGACCGTAAAAAGGTCATGGTCCGAGATAGTCGACCACGAAAAGGTGACCCCGTAGCACCTCTAGGCATCACGGTGAAACGCCCATACTGGGTGGGGCATGGTGTTGGGTTTCCACTCCACCACAGCCGTAAGCACAGCAGATGGCATCGGGACGCTCAAGGAGGTAGGCAAAGCGGCAGTTGACAGGCAGCATGCGGAACAGGAGGCGTAGCCACACATCGCCATGCACCGGTGGAGGCAACCGACAGGTCTGTCGGACACGCCTGACATAGTTGTGAAGGGCAGCAGTGGTGGCTCGGGCGGTGCTGGACATTGGGTGATGTGCCTCGGTAGCTGGGGCATGATAGGCCAAGGCTAGCACCATACGCCTGGCCGTAGAAGGGGTGCCGAGCTGTTGGGGTGGCAGGGGTGGGCAACTGAGTCCCTGGACCCTGGCGTAGACGCAAGTCAGATGGTTGTAAATCATCCCCGAGCGATACACTGGGGCCCATTGCATATGCCCGTCGTTGCCGCGCTCCACTGGGGCCGCTGGGTTGCCCTGACACATCATAACCATGAACTCCGGACGGGTGGGCCATCGCCCGTGCACGGCAACGATATCGGCTAGACATCGTAACTGGTTGTATGCACCATGGCTACACCACCGTCGAGTTGGGGGGGAGTTGACAATGCGAGCTGCACATTTGCCATTCGACATGGTGGGCTCGTAGGTCGTGAGCCACACTGGAAGCTGCATAGTTGTCGCTGGGGTGAGGGGCAGCTGAATGCGCTGAGCCATCGGTGTAGCCGACCACTGTCTCCACACATCTATCCACAGAGGGTGTAGTTCTCACGGCATGAGCCACTTCGACTTGTAGTGGAGGTGGTATAATAAAAAGTCAAATGGACAGGATGCACGATGGAGCCGACCCATAGACCTCTCAAACTGGCGTAATACCAGTGGTTGCCAAAGTGGACGGTCAGGTGTTGCCAGGGACATGGCACGTTGAAGGAGGTGTAGACGTTGTGCACGGATCCTGGACGCAAATGAGGTAGCCCACGGCCTAGTTTCGAGTCAAACTGCAGGCGTGCAGCCAGCAGAGGACGGTGACGGTCTGTAGGAATAGTCTTGCGGTCGAGGATGTAGCGGTTGAGCATAGACTGCCAGCTCTGCATCATGGCGGGTGGCACAGGTAGAGCGGCCGTAACATGCCACAAGAGTGAGAGCATGACAGTATTGGCCAGCAACCGACGCCCTTGGAGCGTACGAGCACGGCAGCCCCATTGTTGGAAGCTGGCCATAAACCTCTCGTGGGCGAGGTTGAGCTGGTGGTCTGCTGGGAGCTGGTGGCCAAACATGAGTCCAAGGTACTTCACGGGTTGGCCTGTGGGCACAATGTTCAGGAGGCCCCCGCCGTCCGTGTCGGCAGGGTCGAGGTGGCCGTTGAGAACCAGAGTTTGACATTTGGCTTGGTTCAACCGCGCCCCAGACACAGCACAGAACTCCTCAACGATGGTCATCTGCTAGACAGCAGCAGGCAGATCCTTCGACAAGAGTGTCGAGTCATGAGAAAAAATGATGCTGGTCATGGTGTCTCCGTGTGGTAGGGAGATTCCGAGATGAGGGTGCTGGCGTAGCATGTCTCCCAGCGGCTCCAGGTATAGCACGAAGAGCAGGCATGACAGTGGGCAGCCTTGTTTCACACCCCGGGTTGGACGGATGACTGGACCCAGTGTGCCATTGAAGAGGAGGTGAGCCACTGGTGAATTGTAGAGCAGTCGCACCCAGGAGATGAATGTTGCACCCATATTCATCTCCGCAAGCACTTCAAACAGGAAGGTTCGGTCGACCATGTCATATGCCTTCGAGAAATCGAGAAACGTGGCATAGCTGTCTTGGTCCTCCAACGTGCAGTAGTGTTGGAGGGCTTGGACCATTCGTGGAGTCTGCGTCCGGGCACAAAGACAGCTTGGGTTGGGTGGATAAGCTGGGGTGCATGACGAGCGAGACGGAAGGCCAGGGCACGAGACAACACTTTCACCTCCACTGGCATAAGGGAGATGGGTCGGTAGTTGCCAGGCAGGCCTCTATCACCACTCTTGTACAGCAGGGTGATGGCGCTGCGACGCTGGTGAGGAAGTAGGCAGCCATGGTGGGTGAGCTGGTAGCTGAACACCAACAACAACAGTTCCGAGAAGATCTCTGGGGCTACCTGAAAGAACCCTGCCGACCAGCCGTCTGGACCAGGCGACTTGGATGGATTCATCGACTTCATCGCATCACACAGCTCGAGCGCTGTAATGGGCTGGTCGAGACTCTCACGGTCCTCCAGTGCAAGCCATTTCGTCAGGACCTCCAAAACTGCACGGCGGCGATGGTGGTCAGGCGGGCCGGCTTCTCTGGGTGTCGCCATGATGGATCGCCAGTGGGCTGTAAATGCACGTTGGACTGTGGACACGTCTGTGGTCGTCGTGCCATCCACTGTGACGCAGTTGATGGACACCTTGGTTCCCAGTGGCTTCCGAAAGAAGTGTAAGAGGTGCCTCGTTCATTGGAGTTGGCGTGGAAGTCGAATTACCGGTCGCGAGCATATTGACTGTGCTCGGCCTTAACAGAGTCGTAGGCTAGCTGAGCTGCAGCTACATCGGCAACGTGGGTGGCCAGGTCACCATAGTATGCCAGGCTCGCTTTGCTGTCGCCAGTCGGAAGTGTAGGTGTTGTAGATGTACCTTGGTCGATTGGGTGTGTAGCCGATGACATTTCATGAGCTGGCGGCGCATTCGCTTCAGCCAACCATACCACATCGCATCATGGTTGAGACTCTCGTCGGCTCGCATTCGGTCAAGGAGCGCTGAGGCCTCCGTGGTGATGGCTCGTTGGATGTCGGGATCAGCTATCAACTCCCGTGGTAGCCGCCAGTAGCCCTTTGTTGTGGTAGATGGGCTCTGCGACAGTGTCGCGGTGTGGGTGAGGTGGTCGCCTCCAAAGTGGTTTGGGTCATACTTAGCCTTGGGGTTGAGGTGAGAGACCAGCTCGTCATGTAGGAAGAGATAATCAAGTCGATTGACACGCCCAGGACCACTGTAGAGCCGTGTAGTAGGGTTGGCGCCACGCATCCACGACACCAAGTGAAGTTAGCCACTCAACGCAGTCCTGTTTGCCACTTGCTTGGTTCGAATGGGGCGTCGTGGCATCGAGGGATGTGTGTAGCGGCATATTGAAGGCGCCACCCACTAGGTGTAGGCCATCGTGTTCGAAGTCACGAGGCTAAAGGGCAAAGAAAGCGCCACTGAGATGCGCCTCCACGGGCGCGTAGATGTTGTGAATGTAGACTGGCAAACCACTCCACACAGTTCTGGCCACCAGGTAGCGACCAGAATGGGGATTAGCTCAGTCGGATGAGCTTCAGATTATCTTTCGCAAGGTACACGGTTCGGATCCAAGTTTGTGCTTATTTTTTTAGTTTCGATTAGTATTTAGGTACTATTAATAGGTGGAGTACTACGTAGTAGTACTATGTTATACCGGTAAGCTTACAGTAGTTTTCAATCAAGCTGTGTGTTTTCTGTTAGAAGTTACAATTCATTTTTATCCGGAACTCTGTGCCATACTTCAACCAAGATGTTCGAAGGAGATTTTCCAGGCCGAACCAGTTGCCCGAACAGGGTCAAAGGTCCTGTTCGGGCAACTTCACTGAACAATCACTGAACGTTTCAACACTGAACGATGAGAATTATCCGGTGACTTTATCCGGCCATCATTTTGTCATAATGGGTCGCTCATGCGCAATGAGCGCGGGTTGGAGCCTCAGCTTCGTCGCTATCGTTAGTCATTAGGTTCATTTATGATGTGGTTGACTCTAAAGCATGACCGAAGTGCTGCCGTGGTCGCTGAGCCGTGTGATGATGCAAGCTGTGTGTAGCTGGTAGTCGAGCGCTACTGCGCATAGACCTGTGATATTCACTAGGTCGCACACATACGTACATATCTTACTATTCCGCCGAAAAGCGCATTCGCGGAGGGTCTCTAGCTACCTCTACCTGCATGAGCCAACGGCCGATTCTTCGCCGCACATGTGGACTCAGCCAAACCATGCAATTTACATAATGATATTTTCGATAAAATATGACCATAATTGATTGGACAAAAATCATTAGACTAAGATGCATGCTGATTGGTCAATAACACAGTCAAATAGCCATTTTCGAAATGCAGCCCAGCAAACCCAGTGGCCGAGCTCGAGGCTGAGCTCAGGCTCCTGCGTTCAATGCCAACACTACCATCCGTCGACCCACCGGTCAACACCATATCGACAACGTCAGTGTCAGTTTCGTATACGTCGGAGATGGTCACTACGCTCCTTCATTTGCGGTTCACCGTGTACCGGGCGCCATTCAACCGACACAACTCGACGAAGCAGCTGGGCGTCTTGTGGTCGAAGCTTGCGCTTCAGTTTAATATTGTCTTCGACTCAAACCCAAAGGTAACACGTGATAAACATGCATGTCATGTAAATTATGGTAAATGTATCAGTGGATTCGCTCAAGAACAAGATCCGTGCGTTGCGGTCCGACTACGTCAAGATCAAGAATGCTGAAACGGCGACGGGCAACGAGGTGCAGCCTAAAAAGCCGGACTACTTCGATGAGATGTTATTCGCGTTTTCGGACATGAATGGGCCGGGCGAAATCGAGTTTGGTCGTGAAACCCAAGCAAACGAAAGCGTCAGCGACGAAGGTACATTTTACACACTATGACGAAGTCATTTATTGCACACTAGACTGTTAATGTGTGTTGGATAAGTAGATGATGTAGCTGATGTGAAAAAACGCAAGGCGGATATCCAACAGGAAATTGAACGCCAACGAGGCGAACGAAAGAAGCAAAAGGTAGATATTGGTGCGGGACTGGAAACACTTGGAAAGTCTTTGGTCGATGGACTTGTGCAGGCTGCAAAGTTGACTTCCAATCGTGACCTCCACAATGGCGAAAACGACAAGGGAATCAACATACTCGTTGAAGTCGTTCAAGAAACCAAGCGCTCCATTGAAGAAGCGAATAAAGTCCAAGTAGAGCTGTTTGCGTTTCTTAAAAGCAAGTTTTAGATAACGTTACGTATCTTTGTTGAACAAAAATGCAATCCAATTTTACTTTTCGCCACTACTCGTCCCCAAACGTCCCCACTAGTCCCCACACGCTCTCACTTGTGTCAGATCATATCCATCGTTAGTATTAATTACATTAAACCAACTAAATATTCTTTGATTCTATCACGAGCTCGTATTGCCGAGTCATCATCAACAAGGTTGCGGTCACTGTCAAAGACAATATGCATCCACTCAGGATAATCCTCAGGATTATCCGGAGCTTCGTCAGCAGCTTCGTCAGGAACGCCATATTCAATGAACCAGTTATGCAACACTAACGTGGCTTCGATCATTCGCGCCATGTCGTTGGGGTGGTGGTGGAGGAGATCGGTTTTAAACACTCGAAACAGATTCTTCCAGCGTCCAAAGGCGCGCTCAACGGCCATACGCGTGCGACTATCTAGAAGATTGTAGTTGACCTCGTCGTTTGTCATGTCGTCGTTGATGGGGTACGGGGTCATAATATGTGCATATAACTTGTAGCCCGCGTCTCCCAAAAACCAACCACCGCGTGGAACCATACGGTGACATGTTTGCCCGAACTTGGAGTTGTTGAAAAGTGCGTTGTCATTTTGACTCCCAGAGCGCAGAGAATACGACATGAATCTCAAGCGGTGGTCCACTACTGCTTGCATGTTGAACGCCGTGAAACCCTTGCGACAATACCAACCAGTAAAGTCCGCGAATCGAGTCACTGCAATGAGGCTGCCATCGAGAGTACCGTAGACGATTGGGAAGCCATGACCTTCAAAACCCATCCGCACTTCATCCCAATCAGCTTGGGTGCGCGGCATGTGGACCACCTCAGCAAGAAAGCACAACTGGAGGACCAAAATGACTTCGCTGTAGTATTCGTAAGCACGTGTCTTAGAGATACCAAAAACTACCGCCATGGTGTCAAACCCGTCTGAGTGGGTCAGGTAATGGATGGTACTGGCGACACGATCGTCAATTCGGAACCGATAGTTATGACGCAATGGTGGGTGGACAAGATCCTAAGCCAAGATAATGTTGTCGGCAATGCGCAGAAAGGTGTGACGGGTGCAGCGTAGGTGGCGCGTGAACCATCCGTCGTATGTGCCGTCGGACTTGACTTGTTGCCACGTGGTACTGGGTATAACAACAGTATTGATGGCAGGGGTGCGGTTGCTACGTCCGACACACGACATGAGAGCGGCGCCAACGACAGCAACACACACGGCACTGGTCGAGTCCATGATGTCAAATTGCAAAGTTGAAATGAAATTGGGATCATTTATTGGATAGTGAGGCATTCATTATTAGCCAGTCATTCGGGAAATAGCTGAGTTGCCCAAAATGGGATGAAATGGGGTCATGCACCCCATTTTGATAAATGGATTTTGGAATGAGTTGGGGAGCGTTTTGATTGGGTAATACCCATTTTGAAAACTACTTGGAACAGGCTCTAAGAGCATCTCCAACGATGTTTTTATTTCTATTTCAATTCGAAGTTACTGATATAGAATAGAAATTCTTGCACTATCCGGAGGGTTTGTTGCTATTTCACGCGAAAATAGAAATTCTGCGAGTCGAAATTTCTAAAAAGTCCGGATAGTGCCAAAATAGCAACCGTAAAAACGAAGTTTGACTTTAACCTATGCTTTAGCAATAACGTAAAAAACCAATTTACTGTTAAGATAACTTAACCAATTTAGGATAACCTTGTATTGCCCAATCACACCTCGTTATTCGTTCGAGTCAAAACCTCTATCATATAATGCTGGCCATTCCTGAATGAAATGCAAAAACGGCGTAGAAGCCATTGATAATAGTCATTCAAGATTGGGTTTGAAGTTCCCTAGTCGACACGGGTCACATTGGGTTGGATCTGAGGTTTTGTCGAGTGTTAAACTCGGTGGACATCCATCCACAACAGAAATTTAACTCTATAAAACAGTACCTTTGTATAAATTATATGCAACCTGTTGTAACCGCTTACCCTAAACACAGAATTTCAATGCTCAGACACATACATACTTTAAGACTTTAAGATAAAAAAAGTTATCCTAAATTAGTTATCAAAATGTGAGTACAAATGCTTAGAAAGTAACAAATTTACCTGTGAAGTTCATCGCCTAAACTGATATTTCGATTATGAAGTCAAAGATGCGCGTCTTGTCTATTGGAATCTCTATTCAAAACTCAAACATCGTAACGGACTCAAAAGTTATGTCCATTCTACTCCGACGCCTCCAAAAAAGTTATCTTAAATTGGATTTTTACGTTAGGTTAGAATTTACCGTTGGAGATGCTCTAAGGCCCTGTTCGGGCTTAGTGGTCAGTTGGCAGTGATTTGGACGGGTTTAAGTGGGGACATTTTGTAACACTGGGTGAATTTTACTGTGAATTGGCCTTACAGTGGTCGACAGCTGTGAGGGGGCCATTGGGAATAATTATTGCTGTATAAATGCTAGCGATAAACAGTTAATATGAACATTGTAGCTCACAGGCCAAGCTACAAAGTGAGCATTTAAACACATCTTTAATGTTGATATTCTCGCTAAAGCGATGTTGAAAAGTTTCAACATGAGTCATTTTTCACCGTATTACATATAAAGTTCCATATCTAATAAACGCGTTTTTCATTCTATGCATAAAAATATGTTAAAATCTGAGAAAAATCCTTGCATAATCGATACTCCGGAGTACATATTATCAGAAGCCCCCTCACAGCTGTCGACTACTTTTAAGTGCGCATGGAACTCCACATGGTTTCCACGGTAACGACAGTACTGTACTCTAATTACTTCAATACGCTTTTCTGCTGGCAAGTTGAAAAAACGATCAGGTTGTCAACTAACGTTACTAGCACTGTACGATGCCACGTGGTGAAGGAAGTTTCCGTGGGGCATTTTGTGCATGAGGTACACGCCCAACCGGAACCATAAATTTTTCATGTAGTATACAGTACATTAATAGTATGTTCCAAACCGGTACTATCAATGTTTCAGGTCCAACCGGAGATATCATAAGTACTGACTGAAGCGGGGGGTATACGGTACAGGTCCAACCGGAGAATCATAGCGGGGGTTATATGGTAGTACTCCTGAGGGACAAGGCCAACATTGCACGAATAGTGAAATTAATACGATCAATGTATGATTATTAGTAGTGTTGTTTTTAGAGGGTCAACAACACGACGGGTTTGGGCACGGCAAAGTTAGTGCCGGTGGAGACGAGGGCGCCGTTCTCGAGCAGGCGGAAGCTCACAATTTTGTTCGCGTGTTGGTTGCCCACGTACACGATGTTGTCGTCGCTGATTGTAAAGTCGCGGGGGTACGCGCCCACGGGGAGGAGACCCGTGGACACGCGCTCCAACGTGGCGGCGTCGAAGACCACGATGTTGTTTTCGCTGTTTTCGCTATTGCCGAGGCCGCGGTTGGACACGAGCACGAACTTGCCGTCTTTCGTGACGTGCACGGCAGCCCCGTACTGTTTGCCCTTCTTCTCCGACGTTTTCACGGCCTCCGGCTTGTACAGCTGGCCGTTCGATTGCACTTCGTAGCGGACCAACTCGTTCGTCCTCTCAGTGATCAAGAAGATGACGTCACCGTTCGGGTGCACGGCTAAGTGACGGGGCAGCGTCCCCCGACCAGTGTCCACGAAGCCGTTGGCGGTGAGCTTGCCCTTGTTGAGCTTGAACTGCATAATCTTATCGTTGCCCAAGTCCGTCACGTACAAGTACGAGTTGTCTTTGCTCAGGGCCACGCAGTGGGCATGGGGGCCTGATTGGGTCCCATACGACGCGGCTCCACCCTTGAACTGTACCTTGTCCACGATCTCGCCAACAGTGCTGTTCTGGTTGAGCTTGAACACAACCACCGACCCGTCGCTGTAGCTCGCGACGATAGCGTATTTGTTGTCGTTGGTGAGCACCACGTGCACGGGGCCCTTGGTGTTGGTGGCGGTCGAGCCGAGAAGGTCGAGGGACAGATTGTCCTTGTTGTCATCTTCGTTGTTGCTGTCATCTTCGCAGTTGACGCCGCCGTCGTTGTTGTCGCGACGTACACGAAACGCGGTGAGCCTGCCGTTGCCGAGTTCGTTGGTCACGTACAAGTACTTTTGGTCGTTGGACAAGGCAAAGTACGTCGGCTCGCCGCCCGTGGTGGAGCCAGTTTCTTGGCCGATCTTGGTCAATCCACCCGCGGCGTCGGTGCGGTAAATGGAAATGCCCACGGGGTCGTTGGTGGTCGCGCCGCTGGTTTGAGACCCCACGAGAAGGAAGCGGCTGGAGGCAGTGCCGACGAGGGCGGCCAAGGCGAAGAGGGCAGTTGTAAGACGCATGGTAGTGGTCGTGCAAGGAAATTCAAAACTGACGCTGTAGTCGTCGAGTGTGAACTTGAAGTGGGGACGAAAGGTTGTACGATTGAAACATATCATCAATTCTGACTTGCCAGCACACCCAATGACCAAACCAGGAATATCTCACCAGATTTCCGTTCAACGGTTACGTGGCTCTCAGTTCAATACTTCGATTACTACAGTACTGTTAGTATTTGAAGTGCACAGTAACATTATTCCGTTTGGTGACATATTGAGATTTATGTGACAGATAGCGGAACACTCTCAACTACTCTACTGGTACTAGTAGTCAATGCTTGCCTGCAGGACAATTCCCTCATAAAACAGTTTTACAGTTGTCTTCTCCGAAAACACTAGAATTTGAGGTCTATATGGAACTTTGTATCTTCGGATTACTGTGTGTTAAGCATCGCGTGTACTCATCGGGCGGGGGGTAGGACCGATACGGATGATATATGTAGTAATTCCCTCATTCAAACAGTATCTTGGGTAGTAAATAATTATCTCATTATTTACAGTTAGTTCTGCAAGTTGAGGCGCTCTCATAAAGTTACGTTAGGGTACGTCTGGTAACATTCCCAATCCAAACCAGTTTTCTGTACTATTAATAGTACTTCGAAGTAGTACATTTAGAGGTGCTGTGGCAATGCTTCGCCCACACAACATAGGTCGTGCAAAGATGCGTAACGTTAGAAGTATAACGATGGATAATCTCCGACTACAGTTTTATTTAAATTTGTTGGCATGATTGATATACCACTATGCAGACAAAATTCAAATACACATGCAGTGTTCTATTGAGTCCTTGGGAATGTTCTTCTAACGCTTATAAGTACGATTCGTACGTAAACGGGTTGGATACTTCCAAGTATTAAACAGTCATCCCCGATTTTTGCAGCCTGGTATAAACGAATATCCTGTGTAATCCCATGGAATATTCAATTTAACAGGCTATTGAAAAATTAATACTGGGAACACAAATGCGGTGCCAGCCCCAAGTCATATCACAATATCACGAGCGTTGTCCATTTGCCATGCGAATCCTTGCAAAGTGGTTAACTCTACATACACGATGACATGGCTGTCGGAATAAATTCGAGCACTGGATAACAAGCTAGGACGTTGTTAGATGTTTCTACTGTAAGAATGAGAGTGTACTTGCTTTGAGACATTCTACGACTACATTTCACAAAACGTGTAGGGTATTCTGATGTTTACGATTAGATTTTGCTCATCGAATGTGATTAATATCCTTACCTAGTGTGAAGGTATACTCCTCCAAGACTTCATATAACCCTTGCATATAAGTACCTCCGTAAAACTATATTTGGTAGGGGCTGCAAAAATCGGGGGATGACTGTATGATATTAATCAGGATTGTTATCCAAATGAGAAACTTTCAACCAGTCGACATGGAGATCAAATCCGCGGCAATAACGAATAGACGAAGGCTTAAAAGCCTTAGTGAAGTTGCCTGAACAGGGCCTAATACAGTACTGTAGGAGCCAGTCAGCGATCCGACCACAAAATTGCGCGCCTCGGTAGCGGAGGTCGTGTAGTTTTGTGGTCCTTGGCGAGGAGTGAGCCCCAATCGGGCATTTCACCGAATATCGAATCGATTCCTCTTGTCGGGGAAAACGGCAGGTACTGTACTGTACAATGTACACTATACTGTAGGCCGCAGGCTGTGCCGCTACGCGGACGAGGCCTGTTCTACGACGAAGTATTTTTACTTGGTATTTGTATTGATCACCAGTGACTGTGTTCGTGTTCCACATGGTTTCCACGGTAACGACAGTACTCTGTAACGTTACTCTAATTACTACGTAGTACTTCGATACCCTTTTCAGCTGGCAAGTTGAAAACACGATCAGGCAGGAAGTCCGATGGTCATCCGCCCCGCAGCGTACAATGGGTTAATGTACCTGATCGATCACAAAGAGCGTTCCTCGACCATTCTGCAAGGAACGTATGTGCGACAATCAGCCAATCAAACTAGTGATACAGTAGGCTGTGAACTGTAAAATGTACTACTCTTACCATACTTGTACTAGTATTAGGAAGCTGCAGCATTCACAGTCAATTCTTGTACTGTACTTGAATGGGCTGCTTAGCTTTCTAACGCACATGCCATTGACGGCTACAGCGTTAATTGCAGATATAATGTAATATCCAAACATGCACAACCTCATTCAATGCGCGGAGCCATAGTCGATATAATAGGAGGGTGCTTTTCACAAGGTATGCTCAAAGTAAAAAGAGTGAAAAAGTAAGGCACAATCAGGGCTCGAACCCGCAACCTCTGGCCTTATAGCTAGACGCTTAACCATCACGCTATTCAGACAACTTGTTAATCATTTGGCTCGGTCCTATCTACACTGTAATGGACACGGCACGTTGAAGGAAAGGTGTACTAGTACGAAGTAAAAGCTATGTGCCTCAACGGGGCTTGAACCCGCAACCTCTGCCTTACGAGCTGAAAGCTTAACCGTCACGCCATTCTGATGAAAACTGCGCCGATTATATAAAAGCATCAGGACTGGCATCTATACCACATACTAGTACTAGTATTTGGACCTCGATGGAGAGGGGCGTACATTGGTACTTACGTTAGAGGGTATGCCTTCAAGCTTGTCGTTGGTGTCCAGTAGGCGCCTTGGTGGTCGTGGTGACGGGGCCAACAGTGACACGAGTAGTGATGAGGTCAACGTGGCGAACAGGGTGGCGCAGGTCGCGAAGGGGGCACGCGGTCACGGGGCTGCGAGAGGTCGTGATGGGGGGACAGTGGACGTGATCAAGGGGGCAGTAGTGGTGGTCATGGTGGTAGTGGTGGCAGGTGCCACCATCGCGACCAACAACAAGGCGTTCGGGTGTTACTGCGTTGTCACTCCAGCTGTCGGCAAAGTCGTACGTAACATGACGTTTTACTTTGCCGGCAGCTGGAGTGATAACACGGCAACATCCGCAGCAACGCCTTGTGTACGTCATGATTTTGATGCAGCCCAGTTGCTGCAGATGGTGCCAAAGGCTGCGTGGCTGTAGTTGGTCGGGCCAGCGAGGACCGCCACGCTTGAGAAACTCGGTCTTGAATGGCAATTCTTGAACTCATCTCAGCAGCAACACGTAATTCACGACGTCGTCGGGGAGATGGGGGACTGGAGGCATGTCGTTGCCGTCTTTCATGGTGTGCTCCCCTCCAATCTCGATAACGTCCAAACCCAGGCTTCGCTATTATTCCAGTTTTACCTGAAACTGGAATATCTCGTGCAGGGCACCTTGTGAGCGGCTGCGCCCTTATCGATCACGTCGCGGCGACTCGCATATCAACCAATGGGTACACAACGTGCATCTATATTGTGGATGCTACTGCACAGCGTTGTTCGTTTACCTCATGCACTTAACTTTAGGCGATCAACATTGCGTAGTACTAACTGGTAGCTAACGTTAGTGTACTCAACATCATTTTGTTACTCGAATCGTTGGAGTCAACGACATATTTAAGTTAGTTAACATAATTGGAGATTGCAAGGATTAGAGCCATTCATGCAGATGAGTGAAAACAAAGCGACTTATCTTGTGTTTGCATGTGTGCAGTGTGAAGTTTAGTGGATAGAAGTTGAAAGAATGTGGGGCACAGCAATATTTACAGGGAGTGCTAGAGGCGATGTGTGTTGGACCATGTAAAAAGAAGTGGTTGCATCGCCACTCACAGCCCTCATAGTTTAGATCGATACAGTCGCAGCGGTGGGCAATCCCAACATAGTCAACACCTAGCATGCCCTTCTGTGGCACCCTTCTACAATAATTCAACATCACAACACCTAATTGCATACCCTCTCTCAATGTGAACAATGCAGTAGCACATTCACATTAGGGAGTACTATTAGGTGCTGTGCGTTGAATTATTGTGGCGGGATGTACATGAAGTGGTGCGCTGGCATTCCACTACGGTAGTACATAACGTTAGGGTGTGCCATCGCTACAACATAAACTACCTACATTGTAAGCCAGTTCAAAATGTCGTGACTGGCGCCTGTAGCCTCTAGTTTCACGATGTACTTACTGTACGTGTGGAAATCCAATTCCATGTCATATTGCATTAGCGTTTACTTGCATATCCTGTCGCTGAGCCCTTTCATCACAGTCTCACTCCATATCACGTTGCAAGCCATAATCAAACCGTAAATCTGCATGCTTGTATACATACACACCACTTTATCTACATCGACATATATCGCTAACTCCAATCCATGCCCAGTACATTAATGTAGATGCTACTACATGACATGTAGTAGCATTCTAGATTAATGTACTGGGCATCGTTGTGTACGCAACCTGCAAACGCTTTTACTTGCGCACCAACTATCGCAATAAGCCATCTTGCATGTAGTGTTGCTGAGAGATTCGAGCATCACAAGGCTCTCAGCAACACAACATGCATTGTGAAATGCGCGCAACGCGCTGACCCTAGTCACGACGTAGCACATGCGAAGACTGTTTCCCCGGGCACGATTGATACC